ATTTTATCTTTTAAAAAAACTTAAATATAATTATATCTATAAAAAATTCTAATTTCGCAAAAACTACAAAATAAATCCAAATCCATGTTATTAAGTTCATCGTCCGTCGCTCCCGTTACCGTCATCTTTTTCGATAGCGGAACATTATCGTCGGACTCCATTATCGATCATCCTCTGGCCGTTACCTTTAAATCCCTATTCAATCTCCTAAACTCCTTTTAATATATATTAACGACGATTCCTCGAAAAATAAAAGAAAATTGATTCTGCAATTAAACCTGTAATTGGTGGATGCATCAGTTCACCTGCAATTGAGGGAGAGAGTGAGGAAGCGAGGGGATGAGGGTTGGGGAGAATGTTTTTAGAAAAAAAATATATTTGTTAAATGTAATAATTCATTTTAAAGATTTTTTAATGAAATCTTTAAAATTATTAAAATGCGTCATTAAATAAGACTTTTTAACAGTTGTTATGATCAGGATACTTAAAATGATAACATTATAGCGTTACATATTTAAATTAATCAAAAAATAACTCAGACATCTAAACGAAAAAAAGTATAAGCTCATACAGTCAATTTTAAATTAAGCTTCTAATATATTTTACTTTTAGGTTTTATAATTGAAGTTTAGTCTAAGTTAATAATTAGCACCTAATCATATTGTTTGTCTTTTGCTAGTTTCCTCTAAGGAAATCTCCAGCCCTCATATCTACTCTACAACATCTCTATCTCTACTCTAAAGATGAAACAATAATTCATCTTCAACACTATCTCTAAATTACCATCAACTCTACTTTATTCATAATAATTAACTATTATAATATTGATTTTGCAAATATAAAATAAAACATATACATTTCTAATAAATATCAAGATAAAAAGCATAAATAAAACATTCATAAATAACATTGCGAAAATACAAATAAATAAGAAAATTACAATTCATAATAATAATATGAAAAAACATAAGTTACATAATTCTCAACAAGTTTTCAAGTTCCACCGAACAATACAAGAGAAGAACAAATGTTTCATTGTTTACACAAGCATTAACCAAACGAAAGCTTCAACTTCTGGAGGAGCAAGTCTATAGTCATCGACTGTCGCATCTGTTGTCGATAAAGTCCAAAATTTTCAACACGCATCTTTCGACCCATTGAAAACGATTTTGGCCTCTGTTTCCTCTGATCTTCATGGTCTACTGTCCGATGAGCCTGAAACTGGATTATGTTGGTCAACTTATCATTCTCTTATGATGAACCGTTCAGATTGGTCCAACGTCCACTGAAACTATGTCACGTTAGTATGTTCATTAAGTTTTTAACGGTATGACACTAAATTAAAATAAAAACTACATGTTAAGTATGATTTAAAAAAAATAAAAATTTAAGCATTAAAATAACAAAATTGATGGTTAAGATAAAAAACGCTTAATTTATCCTAAATATAAATAGGTCAAAACTCATTATGCGATCTCTATTTGAAACATATATACCTCAATAAATATAATTGTAAATTAAGTATTTAATACCTAAACTATCTTTTTTTGTTTGTTTAATATCTAAATTTTAAAAAAAAAATTAAAATTATATCTAATATTTAGTTTTTGTTTTATTTTAGTACCTCGATGTTAAAAACTTAACGAGTTTAATATCTAAACTATCAGTATTGATCCATTTTAGTAACTAATTTTTTTTTTTAAAAAAAATTAACGTTAAAATTTAAATAAGATATTAAAATAAATAAAAACTAAATTAAGTATAATTAAAAAAAATATTAAAACAGAGATGTAAAGGAGACAATAAATAAACATACGTAACTTGATGATGTAAAATAACAGGTGTAAGAGAAAAATGGAGATTAATCGAAAGAAAGAAAAGAAAATGGATAGATAAGTCGTGGCGCAAGGCGTGTCGGCGTATCGTGGCGTACAAATCTCAACAGAGCAATTGGGAGATTCAACTTTTAAATTCAAACCACACACACACCTCCTCCAAAAAAAAAATTGAAACATTTAACTCTGTTGGTTTTTGAGTTTCATCGACGAGCAAAGCAAATGTCGACTTTAACCCTACCGCCGGTTCCTACCTCCCCTAGAGACGATGCAATTCAGCTTTACCGTGCTTTTAAGGGTAACCTGTCTTTTCTTGCTGGGTTTTCTCTCGCTTTTTTTGTACATTTTGCCTTTTGGAATAAAACGTTGTCATGATTAAGCCTTATGGAGTTCTCGTTTGATTGCTAATTGTTGCTCTTGAAATCAATTCAAATGGAATTCAAGCTTTGTTTATCAAAAGTGCAATTTTGTCTAGCAATTCGAATATTTTATGAACCACCTTTGGAATTTGTGGAGAAATGGTGTTTAGGACGCGTTAGCTAAATTGCTTGGAAATTTAGATTTCAAATTTAGTATAAATTGTTTGATTAGCATATAAATTAGGATTCAAATTGTAGTCGCGATTTGTTATTGCGGTGATTGCGGGTATTAAGGTCCTGCAATAAGACGACACCTCTACCACTATATAGTTATATAGCCGGCGCTATTGCGGTCCGCTATTTTCTAGAATCATGAACATAAGAATTTCTTTGTAAATTTGAAAGTAATTTTTATGTTTCCTTTTAAATTTTTCATTCAATTTTTAATTATTTAATAATTTTCTTTTGATATTTTAGTTTATAAACTTTTTTTCCTGTTTTACTTTTCCTTCTAGGGCTGGGATGTGATACTGCAGCAGTGATCAATATTCTTTCCCATCGAGATGCGACCCAGCGTTCGTTGATTCAACACGAGTATCGAACAATGTACTCTGAAGACCTTCTCAAACGACTGGTTTCGGAGCTTCATGGAAAACTAGAGGTACTGATATTTGTGTGTATTGCCTATATGAATTGTTAGGAAAAAATGGTATGTGTGTATCGATGTATTTGTGCACGGTGTATGTGAATGTGCAGATTTTCACCTTGGTACTTGTATTTAATTTTTCAGACGGCTGTCTTGCTGTGGATGCATGATCCGGCAGGACGTGATGCGATAGTCATAAGGCAGGCACTTTAACCAGATGTAACAAATCTCGATGCTGCAACGGAAGTTATATGTTCACGCACCCCATCCCAGATTCAAATGATTAAACAAATTTACCAGTCGAAGTTTGGGGTTTTTCTTGAGCAAGATATCGAAAGATATACCTCCTGTGATCATAAAAAGGTACATTTTCTGGATGGCAATTTTACACCGTCCTAGGTGCCTTATTTTTGGTAATCTTAAAGTATAGAAGCCAACTTTTTAATACACTTGATTAGCAGAACACGTTTTCATTCTCTTTTTCAACAAGCATTTGTTCTTTTAATACTTTGGTACTGTTTTTCATGGAGAGGGTCTAAAAGTTTCTAAAATACCAGGTTTTTAGTCTCGTTTTTTTATCGTTGGTCAATACCATCCCTTTATGTCATATATGGCTACAACATGATAACTCTTAATGGGGAGAGCTAGACATAAACAATATGGATGGAAACTATCAGAATGGACCTCACTTTTATGGCTGGAAGAGGCATAATGGTGAATATGATTGATGTAGTTGACCATACAAAGTGGGGAAATATTTAGTTCTTGTTAACTTCTTTAGTATGTTAACACTCGAGAGTGAAACTCACTCACCGGCATATGTTGTCATAAAGAGTGAGGACATTTGCTTAAATATCCTCAAATAACCCTTCGTCTTGATTAAGAGTGACCCTATCATTGTGGATGGTTTACAAAAGTCAGATTGTAAGCACGTCACAGGCTGGCCATCTTTTCCTCTATTTGGGAAACTAAAAGCACTTTTATCCCTTCCACCAACTCTTACTCTTAGGCAGAAAAGTTAAAGCCACTGATGTTGTGATTCAAAATACTTTGTGCAGCTCTTGCTCGCATATGTAAGCACCCTCCGATATGAAGGCTTTGAAGTCGATAGAGAGATGGCTTTGAAGGATGCGAAGGACCTCTATAAAGCAGGAGAGGAGATGGGGAACTGATGAGAAAACTTTTATCCGCATATTTAGCGAAAGAAGTAGGGCACAGCTAGCAGCTAGCAGCGCTTCTTATCGTGACATGTACGGAAGCTCCTTGAAAAAGGTTTGTTTTTCTTTGTCTTATCCTCACTTTTATTTTACTTCTTGTTGCGATGATTAACAAAATTGAAATTTTCCAGGCAGTAAAGCGTGAAACATCTGGGAAGTTCGAGGATGGTCTCTTGACAATTTTAAGATGCTCAGATAATCCTGCAAAGTACTTTGCTAAGGTAGATATAGATTTTGTTTCCCACGCTGCATTTGCCAAAATTACATGTTTGCAAATCTTATGCCTTTGTGAAACCATGTAGGTACTGCGTAAGGCAATGAAGGGTCTAGGAACGGATGACACTACACTTATTAGGATAATCGTGACAAGAACCGAGATCGATATGCAGTATATAAAAGCCGAGTACCTGAGGAAATACAAAACGACGTTGAACGAGGAAACATCAGGCCGCTACAGGACTTTTCTTCTCGCGCTTTTGGGACCGAACTGTTAAGAGTAGGGATGTGAATACAATATTTGCCAGTTGTGTCTGTCTGTAAATAAGTACACCAACCGGAACACCCTATGTTCGAATGATGTTTTCCATTGGTCGAGTTCGTCTCATATCGCTTTGGTAGAACTAGAACTGATTGCGTTGTTGTTTAGGTGACGAGGAAGCATGTAAAATGGTCTTTAAACTGCAGTTGGTGTGAATGATGGGTACCCGTAGAGAGCGAGAATGTCACATTGTTGGAATGCTTTTCCCTTTCTTTCTCTGTCTGGCTTTTTATTTGTTAATCTTTAAGGCATTCAAAACTCATTTTATTATTTTAAAAGTAAGAAAATCTTAAAAATAAAAAATCATTCATTTCAATAATATATAACCATAACACCGTCATTACTTGAAGTAGCTTTCATATTACTAGTTGACTTTATTCGTGTATATAAAATAAAGCTACAAATTTATTGTTGGGCACAATCTGTTGGTGCAAAAGAGACGGTCCTCTTTAAAAGATCATACTCCACCTGGAAATTTATCTGTGCATGGTTTCCAAAGACAGAAAGATTCTCAAATGTCGGAAAAATCAGCATACAAGCCAAGTTCCCATCATCCTCAAACGTGTTGACAGATTTCAATCGAAGGTCAGCACCAGTGAAATGAAACACCATTTCCGGAACATTGATGTTATCGCCGGTCTTAAAACACAAACCAGACATGCCTGAATGATGTTGCACTGGCTCTTCTCCAATGCCATCTTTCACCATTGCCTCCAAGCCATTATACAAATCTTGTTCTAGGTACGTCAATGTTGTTCCGGAATCAGTTAGGACATTCCCTTGTCCTAAAGATGACCGGACGGTCTTGTCTCCGATGGTAACACCTTCGAGTGTAAGGTAGTAGTACGTTTGAGGGGGTTTGGACACAAGTGGAGTCGTAACAACTCCGGGGCGAGACATTATCGATTCCTGTCCGAACAACAGTTTACCACTGGATTTCGCCGATGGTGGAACAAAACAATAGGAGAATCTGTGATCAATCTGAGTTTGAATTTGAGAAACTAAAGAAAAATCCCCCCCTCCAAGGCCAACGAGTCCAGCAATTCCAAGTGTCATTTGATTATCATGTCCACAACCAAATATACACGTAGAAAATGTGACTTTTTGACCATTTGTGGAACCAAAGCTCAAAGTATCAGAGCTCAGGATTCCTGTGGTGCTCGACATCTCTCCATAGATAACATGATATTGACAATCATTAGTTTTTGAGCACAGTTTTTGGGTCCAAATTTGACAAGCCTGTGAATCACATGAAAAGGCTTTGTAAGTGGAAGATGCTTTGGGGTCAAAAAGAGAAGAGTTTTGAGAATAACATTTGGTACATGGAACACACTGTATCCATGAAAGGTCACTTCCGGTGTCTACCAGCACCAAGTACTCAACAGGTGGGGTTCCAAAAGATAGTTTCATCATGTATTCCCCGCCCCCTTCAACTGGAACCACCACAGATTGGATGACCTTTTGATCAACCACAGGTTGTAAGTGTTTGATTCGATCCCTTGAACGAATGGCCTTTTTTCTTAGCATCTCTGAGGAGGTGAGAGATGCATTGTAACAAGGAGAAAGTGGGGAATCACGATGAATAAGATCAACACTGAAGCCAGATGGCGTCCTTGCTTTAACCATTAGGATTCACAAAACGAGAGTGACAAAAATAAGCAATCCATGGTGCCTCATTACAAACAAAAAACTAAACAACTGAGAAGAAAGATAAAATGTAGATAAAAATAAAATCACGCACGAGGTTTAGGTCACTTGTATTGGATTTGTTATTTAGTTGGGGAATTCTTTTTGTTTAAATTAAGGAGTTTTTTATTCGAGTAGCAAACCGTATCTTCTCTTTTTCTATCATGTTATATGTGTGATACTTTTACTTTATTTTTTTACAATTAACTTACACTAGTTATTACAATTAAGAGTATGCCATTAAATTAATTTAACGATTATATTATAAAAAATATTTCAGACTATTAAATTCTACAACCCAACTAATGGTATTAGTCGTCTAGAGTAGGAATGACAACAAGTCGGGTTGGCTGAATTTTTAGTCAATCTGACCCGATCTCAAAGTATATACCTTTCATCCGATTCCACCAGAAAAATATATATCTTCCACCCAATACGGATAGGACCCGAATTTTTAGAGTATAACCCGACCCAACCTGATATAAAACAAGGACTTAATTAAAATAAGAGGTACTATAACAATTATCCATAAATTTATTTGAGGAAATTACACTATTACGGTGGGTTGGCTCGGGTCGGGTCAGAGTTTTTCACCCTCCATCCAAACTCAACCCGACCTCACTCCTTCATATAATCTGACCTATCCGACCCGAACTCGAATATGTTTTTTAAAAGTCTAACCCTATCAAATTGTCTCAAGTATGAATCTGTCAGTTTTAAATTAAATTGTCATCATTACTCTAAAAGTTCAAGGTTCAAATAGTTTTATTCGCAAAATGTGTGTTATCAATTGATTAAGTAATTTTTAGACATATATTACCTTATAATCAATGATTATTCAGATTATAAAATTTTAGTATTGTTGCAACAAGATAAGTAAGTCGTATAACGACTTTTACGGTTTGAAATTCTTACATGATGTCTCCAGGTCATATATTGCGACATAACATACTATTAAATTATTCGAAATATGGATCTTCATTGAAATGGTTTGAACTTGTAAAAATAAAAAATAATGTTAAACATTAATAAACACTCTAATATTTTTAGACTATTTGTATGTTATACATTAAATATAATTATAAAAATATAATTATAAAAATGTATAAATATAATATCTTATAAATATTGTAATTTTAAAGAAACAAATGATGTTTATGAAAACTATTTTACGTTAAGTAAGAGTTAATTTCATCATATGTTTTCAAATTATAACTCTAATTTTAAATTGATTTTAAACTTTTAAATATTTTAGTTTCCTTATTTTAAATTAGTTCATGAACTTTTGAACATTCTAATTTCATCTCTAAGTTATGAATATCTTTCTAAAATAATCCCCAAACTTTTGAATATTCCAAATTCATCCCCAAATTCATAGAAATGTGTAATTATAGTTAACCTATTTTTTTTTTCAAACATTTAATGATACAACTTGGTGTGACGATTTTATTAACAAGAAATGTGATTAGTATATGCGCATAGTTTAGAATGTTCAAAAAGTTTAGAACCAATTTAAAAATGAAAATCATAGCTTATGGATGAAATTGGAATATAAGAAAATTTAAAAATTAATTTAAAATGATAATTATAGTTTAAAATAAAATTAAAATATTAAAAAATTTAACAAGCCATTTACTTTGAAGATGTATAATACAATTATCTAGTTAAATAATTTCGTAATATCTATTATATAATCACGACATTACATTTGCAAGAACACCCAACTTTATCTTAAAACTGTGATTTAGAGTCAAAAACTCTAATAAACAAACAGTGTAATAAAAATGTATAAATGTCGAACTACTACTACTACTACTATTATTATTATTATTATTATTATTATTATTATTATTATTATTATTATTATTATTATTATTATTATTATTATTATTATTATTATTATTATTGAAGCAAGTGATGGATTTTAGGTTTGAACTCTACTATCACAATAACTTATTGATTATGTTATTTTAAATCTAATTTTAATCATATTCAGAGATGAAGGGAACGAGAGAATCTGTGAAAAGGATAAGAGTATTCTTAATAGAAGTAAAACTTATGTTTTAAAGAAATGCGAGAGAATAAAAATGAATAATTTAATCAACCAACCAACCAAATGTACTTGTTCGATTATATTATTATTTCTGTATAAACTTTTTCATAATATATTAAATTTTAGTTAGAATTAATTGTTACATAATATATATTTTTAATATTTTCTCTGATAATTAATGAGATTAAGAAATTAATAAATTCCAATCGTATGAACCTTTTATACATAATCAGTTGCGGTCATAGTTCGGGTGCCTGCTTCTTGTTAACTAAAAATAAACATCACTCATTTTTCTTATTCATTTTTTAGTTTTTCTTAAATTATTACATTATACGTAGTAAATACGGCTGCATTCATAAAAGTAGGGTCGCTAAATAAATAATTAGATGATACAACTAAATTTTACATTCGATTAAAAAATCATTTCTTTTTTATAATTATAAGTATCTAATTAGATCGGATATTGTAGAGGTGAGGACTGTCCTTCTAATTCGGCTTGCTCCATTCACAAGCACTAAATTCGAGTTGTTGATTTGCTTAAGAGATCTAGTGTCTTGTCTCACTCGAGCTGTTGATTTACTTAAGAGATCTAGTGTCTTGTCTCGCTAAACAAAAAAGAAAACATTTCTAATCAAATTATTTTAAAATTTATAACATAAGAAATGCAGGCATCAATTCTGAAAGCAGGGAAACCAGAACGCTTTGTTGATCCATGGAATTGACAAATTTATTCATCCCGAAGTTTCGGGATTGATGGGTATGTCTGCCAAAGACTGTGGAAGCAACACTTATTTTATGGATATCAAGTAGGAGTAATATCTAATTAATTTATCTCTTAGAAAAGATGTTAATGCAATTATTGTATGGTTTGTTGGAGGGTTTCTTGAAGAGCTTCTAGAAATATGGTTCTATGTAGGTTACAGTGTTCGTACATAGTTGACTCATTTTGGTTTAAGTAAAGAATAACAATCGGTTATTTTTAAGGAAAGTGAAAATGATAAATAATATTACAGAGAGGAGTAGAGAGAGGATCCAAGAGAGATATCAGTGTCAGGGGTTTATTATATATTTATCCTATTGTGTGTTAAATTTATGGTCGTGATTATTATTCGTAGGTCGACAAAATGAATTAACATGACTATCCAATACATAATACTTCTAAAACCCTTTAAAATCTTTTTAAGATTTCCTTAGCAGAATCACAAGAGTTGAATTACAAATCTCCATTAGAAAAACTCTTAATCCACTCGAAGTTTCGCTCCAAGATTCATGAGAATTAAATGCGAATTGAAACACAACTACTCTCGCTCTCGTCTCCCTTATCTCGAAGTAAAAATTCTAGTTTGATTAAAAGTAGAAATTTTACTTTTTTTTAATGTAAAAAACCTACTTTAAGTATATGTATACTTTATATGTTTCTTTTATAATCAAGTATCTATCTCTATAAATAGATACTAAGAGGTAAGATTAGAGATTATTTTATCCAACTCCAATGAAACTATGAAAGACATGAAAATAACACTTTCAGGAGAATAATCTCAAATATGTAAACATCTTACATGAAACTGTCATAACTAATTGCTATGACCTTTGGTAGACCTAATGTGAAGTCATAACTAATTGATATGACCTTTGACAGAATCATGTGAAACCATAACTAATTTATATGACTTAGGATAGGTTCATGTAATCTAATATAGTCAAACCTATTGTCATCTGACTGCATCTATTTAATATGTTAACCTATGGATAGCTATCATGACTCTACATTTGACAAACAATTAAGAATCATTATAAAACCATTCGAACAAATTCGAGAGACGAGATATGACCTAAGTGAAATCAATTCATCCATATTCTCCTTTATTCTACCTTCTCATGAAGACTAAACACTTTGTTATCGATCAAGAGTTTATCTACCATCGATTGAAACTTGAACCGATAGGGATAAATCATGTATAACCATGGTAACACATTTGGCTTTATTAACAATGGTAATAAACACGTTTATAAAACTTAAACCAAAACGTTTAAAATTGGAACAATTATAAAAACGGTTAGGTGGGTTGGTCCACAGACCACACACTTTTCTTAAACCGCGTGCCAAAGACACGTCTATACGTTTAGCAATTGGATTGAGATTCGAAGAGTCCAAATTTGTGTTGGCAAAGATGGGTAAAGGTGAAATAAAAGGAAAGGAGGAGATGGGGCCAAGTGAGGAGAATAAAACTGGAATCAGAAGCAGATGAAATCATGGATTGGCCGACTGGACAGCCTGAGGTGAGACCTGCTGCTAGATACCACCTTTTTCCATCTCCTCAGGGGGTTAAGGAGAGCACCCATCTATGTTGGTCTCTAGATCTCTTATAATCATATGCGTATTCCAACACTGAATGGTCATAGTTCAATCCCCTCTTTTCACCATATTTTCTTACTCATGCCTCTCTTCGTAAATCTTTGTATTCTCTCTCTCTATATATCAACATGGTTTTGGAATTTTGATGTAGGAATTATTTATTTAAAGCAAAAGCACTTTTGAGAAGAAAAAAAAAAAAAGTCTATGTAACATTCATATTATTTTTCTTTTAGAGTGATATTTCAACTTAAAAAATAAATTTAATGCGTTCTTTTGACAACATTTTTCATCGTTGACCTTTATTGTATTGCTATACTAGTACACGGTGTTGATGTGGAAATTCATGGTACTAACATGGTAGTCCATTTGCGATGTTTGAATTATCAATTTAGTCAATCTATCATGTCATTCGTCATGTTAATTTATCACTCTGGACTACCATGTCAGCATATTGTCACATCAGCACCATAACGGTCAACGACGAAAAAATATTTATCAAAGGGTCATATTGGATTTATTTTATAAGTTGGAAGGTCACATTGAGAAAAAAATAATACAAGTACCACATTGACTTCCCCCAAAAATACAGAGACCAATGATATCCTTTTACTTTTATTTAATTGTAGATGTATTTATAAAATTTTATAATTTTTATATCTAAAATATTTTATTATCAAACAGTGAAGTATTTTTTTTATTAAGAGATGTGATTCAAGCATTTAATTTTTATTTAAGAAATTTAAACACAATATAAAAATAATACATATAGAAAATGATATTATCACATTAATATGAAAAATACGTCTAAACTTAAATAAAAATAATCAATAACTTTTAATAATGTATGAAGATTTATATGAGAAACTCATTATGAAACTAGAAATTAAATATTTAAGTTATCCATAACTACTTTTTCCAATTCAACAAACCTAATATAAATGGTTTTAATTAAAATTATTAGTAAATCAAAATTTTAGATACAAACGAAGGATCAAATGATATATTTTCTATTAATTTAATATAACACATAGTGATAGATAATCACATGAAAAATATAATGTTTAATGCCTAAACTTCAAAAAAATTAAAAATAGTGTTTTAAAACAATCATTTGAAAATAACTTAATGACCATTTATGAATTTTACAATACCAAATGACATTCTTTCTAGAATTTTCCTTGTCAAATTAGTCGAACATGCTATATGAAACATATGCACTTGCTTTATTAACAATTTCTCTCTCCGAGAGTCCTAACATCAGCACTTTCAACCATCCCTTTCCAATATGCACCAAAACATAACTAAAACCCCATTATTTCTAATCCTTCAATACAAAGAGAGAAAGAAAGAAGCTTCATTTTGCAGTGCAACTAGTTCGAAATCATGCTCTCTGTCTCCTTCACGAACCCATCTCCAGTCCAGTCCTTATCCGAATCTAAGCCTTTTTTAACAGCTTTCCTTTGCCGGATAGCTTCTTTTTGTCGACGGACGAGTTCTGTATGTGTGGTGAAATATGGAAGGGAGGCCCTGAGAAAACAAAGAAAGATGCATTATTCAACCAAATGTTTGTAAATTATGTGCAATTGGCATTGTGGGAAATCAAGCACGCACCCTCTGAAATCTTCTATTGTTTTGAAGTTGTGCTTCTTCATGAAATCCTTGAGCTCTGCACAGAGTTTCTTCACAAGACCATACCCATGCATCATAACACCGGTACATACCTACGAGTATAGGCAATGATTATGCAAAGCTTAAAACACATACAGAAATTGATTACGGACTTCGTTCATTCATGAAATAATGAAACAAAACAAATACGAGTTCGAAGACTGCAGACAACCGAATAAGTTCTGCTCTCTGAAAATCATGTTAATTTGTATCATAGAACTGTCAAGATATTACTTCAGAATTCCAGGTGAAAGGCACATACAAATATATAGAGATTTCAAGAGTATTGGTAATGCCACTACATAGCATTGCACCGAACTTGTGTCCTCAACAATTTTTCAGCTAATTATTATCCAGAAAAATGATACTATGTTACACTTCACAAATAAAACAGTATGTTAATATGCATTCCACACAAGATTGACATGCTAAGACATCATCTAAAGGTAACAATTTTTTTCGCAGGCATAAAGAGATAATGGTGAGATTATAGCAGACTGGGTTACTCGGACTCGGGTTCAAGTGTTGGACAAAGTTGTGCATCATGCACCGGTATGGATAGATTTTTCCAAGTTTTTCCATACATTTGGAGGATCCTTGGAAGTCATATGTCCATATCCAAATGTTGGACATGAGTGTCAACCGTGGGTACTTCATGAAAAATGAAGAGTCTGAGAACCATAGATATCAAATCAGATTTTAAGAATTATTACCTGGACAGTATTTGCACCAAGAAGAACAAATTCAGCAGCATCACCCCCGGTCTCGACACCCCCAATGCCAGAAAGTGAGTAATCCTTCTTATTAAACTCCGACTTCATCATTTGTGCAATGCTCATCACTTTAGCAAGAGCAATAGGATGGACTGCTTTGCAAGAATAACCCCCAGGAGTTGAGTAGCTGTAAGCAGAAGTTAAGAGCATAAAATCTTCAGGGATAAATTCTGAGACAGTCGAAACAAAAGAATCTTATATTTGAGAATACAAACCCCTCAACACATGGCTCTGGGCGTAAAGTATCAAGGCTGATTCCCATCACACTCTGGATGGTATTTATAGCAGCTATCCCCTCACAACCAGTACTTAAAGCCACCCTTGCTGGCTAAAAACATACAATATGAGGATAATATTAATTATCAATAATAAATCAATATTATCACCAATAAAAAAAGGAATTTACAAAGAAGGAAAAAGTGATAATATGCATTGCATTCATTCTAATGGGAAGTCTAAACAATAGTGCTTCAACCCATTGTCAATGGTAACAGTTGGCCTAAACAATCAAACAGAACAATAAACTTTTGAGACTGAGTTACTGATAGGTGGCCTTTTCAAGAAAACCATGAATGTATCGATAAGTGATGAACATAGATGAGCAGTTTGATTGATCTAATTTCCAACCACAAGAGAGACAAATAAATCTAGCCCCATTCAAGAAAGTAGCACGAAAACCTCCTTTTTCCTGGTAGGAGTAAAATTCCATTTACTAGTTTGTCTCCCTTGGTGATCATGAAAATTTATTAAAAACAACAAAAAATAAGTTTCCCAATCTGTTATTTTTTGTGTTATTGTTTCTCAATATTTCCAATATGTTGAAACAACAATGATATCCACTTCCATTTATATTCAACTATAATTTAGCCAAGAAGCAATATGGAAGAAACAGACTGCAAGTTTTCAGTCCTAAATGAATACTCTCCTTACAGATCGAATTACAGCTTATATTTTCTTTTCCTCTGCTTATAGATGAGAAAAATTATAGTGATTTTTCAGAAACTACTCTGTTGATAAATATGGTGCTTAATGGTGCCTCAACTAACCAAAATACCCCAAGGTCATGAGTTTTGAGACATAGACATTTTTATCCCTGGGAGCCAAAAGCAGAACAGTTTCATACATGGTAGAAAATTGAAAGTCTTACACATTAATGCTTCCAATAATGGGAATTCTTATGAAATGTGCCATCAAGTTTAAATATAGCTTTCCAAATAACCATCTCACATTATTTTATTAAAATGTAAACATGTGTCTCACATTCTTTTGTCTTCTTGTCATACTATTAAACATCAGGATTGAAAGCAAGTTCCACATAAGCAGTAAAATAATTAAAAAATAAAGTAAGCATACCACTGTGATGTCAGTGATGTTAGGAGTCATCTTTGCCCACACAGGAACAGTCGCTTTTGCATTTATCCATCCACAAACTTCCTCCAACAGTGCACAATCTTGTCCCATAGCCATACCCATTTTCCGCTCAGGCATACCATGAGGGCATGAGAAATTAACTTCAATGGCGTCCTAGAAACAATATTAATTAATGACATAAATCTTTGAAGCGTGAGAGATATAAAAATAGTGTTTTAGTGAAGAATATAGCTTACAATCCCAGTTTGCTCTACTCGATCAATAAGTTCTTCCCAGCCAGCTTTGTTATATTCCTCCATAATAGAGGCAATGAGAATCCGATCTGGATACTCTTCTTTCAGTTGCTTAAATTCTTTCAGCATAGTTTCAAGAGGGCGGTCACTGATGAGTTCAATGTTCTCCCACCCAATTATTTGTCCTTTGGCCGAGCCACTCGCTCCTGCTCGTAGCCGGGCATACCTTGGAGTTACATTGATAACCTTGGCAGCATCTAATGACACCTGGTAGAACAATTTGGAGTCAAATATTCAACGCTTAGTATTGCGTAGGCCAAGATCACTTGGATTTAAAAGAAAAAAATCTCAAACAGTATTTCAGATTAGCTTGGAATTGAAATAGATCCAAAGAAATAAAAAGACATAAAGGTCAAACATCCAAAGTCAAACAGATCAAACATGTCCGAGGGCTATACAACAACAGCTATTCCGATGCGGACCATTATTTAAATCCCTGATCCAAGGTTTATCACCAAAAACTAAATCCATAAGATATACATAATACATCTATTTAATTAACATAGGTACAGTTCTGGTATAAATGCAAGACTGTGATTTATACGGCATTCGTTTCAAGATACCCTTTTGTCTTTTCTAACATGTCTCCCTAAAGAGTTAATCCCATTTTTACGTCGAATTTGTACAATTGTATCTACTTCGGAAAATGTTTTCGGTTTTTTCTTGATTCCATCAACTTCGTTTTCGAAATTCAAAGTTGCAAAAACAACTAGATTTCCCTTCCTCCATTAAACCGTTCAGTAAGAGTGATTGCTGGCTGAGAAACTGTAAGAAAAATATGGATGTTCGAATTCTCCAACGCGTCAATACGATCTTAAAAAAACAACTTATATAAAATAACAAACCAAAACCGCCACAAAGAAAAGGAGGGAAGGGAAGGAAGGAACTTACAGTCTTGGCGATGACAGCTCCCCAACCTTCATCAAAGGCTCTCTTCATGACCGTGTAGTTAGTTCCGGGTGGACCCGACCCGATCACAAAGGGATTGGGCATCTGGAATCCATTAACGCACACACTCAAATCCGGCTCGGTTTCAGATTTCGAAGCCAAGACCTTGAACCCGACTCGAGTGGATCTCGTCGGAGGAGTAGCACGGCGAGTGACAGCAAGGTCGGCAAATGAATTGCGGTTGCTGTGGGCAACCTTGGTGAATTGGAGAGAAGCCATGGATGCGTGTAAGGAAGAAGATTGAATCTGAAACGTAATGCGGAAACTGACAAGGAGGATATTCTAGGGAGTCTGGGCTCTACTTTTTGACTTTTTTATTGCTTACTACCATAGCATAGGCCATCATCATCCATCCCCATTATTATATATAGTCAAGGATTTAAATACCCTATACAACTCAATTACCATTACTTTTATTACAAGCGGGTCACTTCAAGAGCTTATAATTTAATTAGAACAATATCATTAACAAGCTATTTAATCATTAATATTAGGGTAAACTATAAAAGTAGTCTCCAAACTTTTAGAGTACTTGTATTTTGGTCACTCAACTTTTAAAACTTGTAATACAATCATCGAACTTTTAGTTCGTTTTCATTTATGTCTCTGACGCTACTTCCGTTAGTTTTTCTACTAACGTGACAGTTAACCTCCCGTCAACTCTCTTATCCTTTTCCTCCTTTGCCTCTTTCTCATTCTGAAAACCCTAAACTCCAAAAATTTAAAAATTATAACCCCATTTAAAATCATAAGTTCCATAAATCAAAAACCCCAAAATTATAACCCACAAAATCATAACACCGATACTCAACTCAGTTGTTGAAAACTCTTGAAAGCAACCATAATTTGATCACCGTCAGAGTTATCCCTTTATTCTAAAAGGGCAACCCCTTCTTTCTTGCCTTATGGACCATAAGAATGGCGGATGACCTTTAGGAGAGCTCCATTAGGTGCAATGCATACATGTAAACTCTTTCCTTTTCTCAATTCCACGTGAAACCTTACTAATATTAAGCATCGTAGGAATGTTTCTCAAACTATGGAAGAAAGCCAATATCCGAAGTTGAGAATTAGTGTCTTTTCTCTCAATTGTTTTGTACTTATGTTCTCTTTCCCCCTTTCGTTTAGCTAGCTTATACACTGCCATCACAACTGGAATAATTATAGAAGTTGTAAAAATGGCCATCAAAACCATGATTGTAAATGTTTGATGGTTCAAAACCTGTAAAAATACTGTTGAGTTAATCGATCGATGGAATTAGCCAAGAGGGGAGGTGAATTGGCAATTAAAAATTCGGTGGAAGCTTTTGCAGAAAATTGAAAAGATTTGCACAGCGATTTAGAGTGGTTCGACTTTCTCAATCAAAGTCTACGTCCACTACCTTAGCTATCCACACTAAGGATTTTCCAACAAATTCACTAATTTGTTCTTTCTTTTGAGGCCAAAGAGATAACCTTACAACACCCTCAAGAATATACCCCAATTCTTGAGAACACTCTTTTCCCAAAGAGAAGATTACAAATTTGCAAACTTACAAGGAAAACCTCACAAGGTAAGATGTTTGCACAATTCTAGAACAAGAAAAGAACACTCAAAGATAATTACAAATGAGCACAAATGATGTTCTTGAAAGCAAAATGAATATTGAAAGGAAGATTGGCTTGATTTGCACAAACTTGATGTTTGATGCTTTCTCTCTTGTTTCTCTATGATTTCTTATTGATCAAGGGCTTCAGAACTTGTTTAAATACACCTTGAATCACTTCTGAATGTTGGGGATGATTAGTGAAGATCATATAGCCGTTTTAGTGTGAAAACAATTAATAAAACAGTTTGGAGCGTGGAGGGAATCGGTTCCCCCTCATAGGGAATCGGTTCCCTAAGTGTAAAATTCAAATATTTCGACCGTTGAACAGGGGGGAATCGGTACCCCCTATGGGGGAATCGGTTCCCTCCGAGCATTCTGGAAATCTCGGAGCCAAACCATTCAGAGGGGAATCGGTACCCCCTTGGGGGGGAATCGGTTCCCTCTGAGCAATCTGTAATTTTTGGCTTTGAAATGGTTCGAAATACTTTGAAAGATTATTTTGAAATTGTTTTAAGATTAAAACTTAATTTTACACTTAAGTAAGGATTAAAAATGAGTTTTGAAATATTTTGAGTAATGTTTTGATATTCGAATAATTATATCGAATATACTTAGAAAATCATTTTGGAAAATCTTAAAATTCATTTAACTTAATTTGTTATATCGAAATATCAAAATGTTTTCAACAATCTCCCCCTTTTTGATATAACAAAACATTTTAGTAATTTTAAGATTTTGAAATCAAGTTTTGAAATTACTCCCCCTTACTTTAACACTTCTCCCATTTATCATTTTAAAAACACACTTAAAACACACTTCTCCCCCTTTTTGTTAAATCAAAAAGATTCAAATAAACGTGAAAAATATGTAGTCAATTGATTAAGTATATGTATGCATAAGCTGCTAAGATCACAATCAAGAGAACCGTTAGCCATTAGTTCCATAATCAATATTCATAAACAATGTGATATGGTAAAATTGGTCATATTGCTAATAATGATGTAAATGATGCAATAATGAATAAATCACACCAAACATATAAGTTCACACCATCCATAAATTCAGACATTCCAAAATATTCAAAATGTTAAAACAATAAGTTTGGAAAACAAAGTAAAACATTTAATCACATATCCGGATCAGGAGGAGGAAAACGAGCTCGCATAGCGGCCATTTCGTTAGTGAGGTCATTAATACGTGCGTTGGTTGCTTCATTATTTGCACGCATTTCCCGAAGAATTTCTAATTGTTGAGCTCCCATTGTGGATAAATGGGACTCTATAGAATTAAAGCGCGAATCCATGGTCGCATATCGGTAATCAAATGTTTCCATAAAAGATTAAAAATATGGAGGCATTTGAGTCGATTGTTGTGCTTGCTCTTCGGGCTTCTCCTCGGGCTGCTTAGGTTCATCTTCAGCTTCATCGATGTCTCGAATTAATTGCTCAAGCTCGAGATCTTCGTCAGCTTCGGGTGGAGCTTGTGAAGAACTAGCTCCCGGAGTAGTTGCAGAAGATCGAACCCATTCCCCGATTTCCTTATCCTTAATCCACCCCGCTCTCGTTAAGGAAAGAAGGTTAATTTGTTTCTTAAGAGGAAAAACGGCATCTAGACCGACTCTAAGCCCAGCTTTGGAAAACAGATTACTCAAAATACAACCGTAAACAAGAGATGAACAAAGTTTTTTTATTAGGAACAAGATTTACGGTTTCAACAATTTCAGCAAAAATAATATGAGGTAGGTTGATTTTAATATTGTTTTCGAAACAATGTAACCACCAAAGATCTAAGGCTCTAAGAGTAGAATAATGACCTCCAGATAGTCGAAACCACCAAGAAATCATTAGATGAAGAAAACGTTCATGAAGGTCTAGGACACTTGCACTATCCCTTCTTTTATAACGAGATCCTAAAACCTGTTTTTCATTTGAAATTCCTTCATTATCTAATCCGAATGTATTGGCTATGTAAGCCGAGTCAATATATAAGAATTGTCCTAGAAGGTAGGAACGAATTCCTATGGTTTCGGTTTCAGTTTGGTCTTTAACACAAACGGCATTAGAATAGAAAATACGAATAAGTTGATGGTAAACGATGGGTTCAAGGTCAAAGAGTTTATCAAATTTCCACTCTTGTAAAAGAGGAAGATATTTAAAATTGATAGCTAACATAGCTTGACGAGAAGGAATATGTTCTTCCCGGATTTTGTAAGAGTCGAAATATTGATAATACCAAAAACGATGATTTCTAGGACCAGGATGATTAAAACACGAATTTTGGATAGTCAAATTAGGATCAATAAAATTAGGATTAGAAATTGGAATAGGTGGAGGATTTGGAGGTGGATTTGGTTGTCGGTGTGAACGACTAGATGAAGACCTAGCACGTTTAGGATTAGACATGGTGAAGGAAATCGAAATAGATTGGATAACCTGCAATTTTAAAAACAAATGTATGCAATTCAATTAATCCCAAAACTCAATTGAGTCCTCAATATTTCAAGGTTCTCTAAATCAATCCTAATGGGCAAAGTTTTTGAAAAACTTTTGAAAAATATGGTTTTGAGAAACAATATATGTATAGTTTTCATAACAACAACATAATTTAATCAAAACACAATGATTTGAAAAACAACAATTTTTTTTTTTTAATTTCGAAAATTTAAAATTTTTGGAAAATTTTTGTGTTTTTGATGAAATTAGTTGTAACATCTAGTTTCTAATCACTAAACAATCAATGCCCGATCACTATTTCAACCTAGAACTAATTAAAACTAATCCTATGTTCAAAATTAATGAAATAGAGAGTTTATAAAAAATTACCTTGAAAGATGAAGGTTGAGGGGATTTAGATGTTGTTTGCACGATTTTAATGATGATTGCAAGTTTAGGAGATGACATTTGAAGTGTTTTCCGATTAAAATCAATGATTTGAGGCAAGAATGGAGATTTGAGTGTTTGAGGGTGAGAAACGGTGGAATAGATTTTGGGGTGTTCTTGCCCGATTTTAACAGAACCCCAGGGGGGTATCGATTCCCCTGTGGGGGGAATCGGCTCCCCTTCAAAGGGGGAATCGGTTCCCTCATGGGGGGATCGGTTCCCCTTCAAATGTTGAGGCATCTTTGGAGATTCAACATCAAATATTGGGGCATCTCCGAGGATTCAACATCCTGATGCGAACTATCAAATCTTCTGAAGGCATTTCCTTCACCAGCAGGAACAAGCAAACTATCAGTATCCTTTAATGTTGTTTCTCTCGAAACAAAATGTTTTCTCGCTTGAGACAATTTTCTTTCAAAATAAATTTTGTCTCATTTGAGACATAAAAAAATCTTCGAGTTCGTTTCTTTAGAAACAAAATTTTATCTCTTTCGAGACAACTTCTTTTGAAGCATCATCTCTGAGTCGGTTTCTTTTGAAACCAAAATCCTTTAGATGGCCAAGACTCATGAACAAATGAGTAGTGTCATCACTTGATCATATCTCCTCATTATGTAAGAGTTGTGTCAACCCAGATAACCAGTTGTCCTCATCATGTAGGAACCATGTTATCACCCTTAGATGGAAAAGACTCATGAACAAATGAGCAGTGTCATCACCTTACCATATCTCCTCATCATGTAGGAGCCATGTCACCCAGATAACCAACCATCCTCATCACGTAGGAACCGTGTTATCACCCTTAGATGGCC